AATTTACGGTTAATAGTTTTATATGCAGTTCTTATTTCAAACGCAATTATAATGTTCTGTCATCCTTACAGTCAATTATGGTTATAAATAATTACAATAAATGCAAAAAATATTCTATTTTTATTCTAAATTATAGGTGAATAAGAATTGATTTATTATGTAAAATAGTATCACGTTTTAGCTAACCATTTAATGCTCGCTGCTACAGCGGGTGAAATCTGGTCGTAAATAGCGATACATTTTAATGTGTCGTAAACTCATAACTTTTATAACCAATGCACTTAGTAATATAGTTTTTAGTATAATTATACAATTCCGAACAATATATATTATACAGTTCTAAGTTGATGTATGTTGGCACTAAAAAAAAATAAATAATAATAATAATAATGGCAAATAAAATATATTATATTTGTAGAGACGCTTAGTCGATAAACACAAAAAAAAAAAAACGAAAAAAACAAAAACCATTTGTTTTACTCTGCGAGTAGCTGTCCTCGACGGTAGGACCCTACCCCACTCGAGAGACACGAAGAATAGAACCTATTCGGTTACAGTTGCCACCGGGATAGAAAGTATATTACTTCTATAATCTGTAAAGAAACGGTTGTATAGTCGTGAATAATTCCAAGCTCGGCGCTTAACAGTAATACCCCCTGTACATTATTTCGAAACCCTTAACCCGAAGACCGATTTGATTGCATCGCGAACACGGGTAATCACTTCCCTATAAACGTGCTCCCCCACGCAAACGTATATAAAAACAAAGAAACGCTTTCAATTGGATTAAACCCAGTTTAATGTACCATGTCCTTAAGGACGCAGTCGCGGGCTATCGTCAACCGAATTCGTCTTTGGACGATGACTCATTATGGGTTAACTAATATTCTGCTTTTCCGCTTTGCAGCAAACATCAATATTTGTCGACAAATTTTCTTTTATCATTCTCGTAACATGCAATCGAAAATGAAACGAAACGGTTTTATTTTTGCCCAGTTATTGTGAAAAACGTATACGTTTATACATATAGGGACATACGTATATTTTATTAAAATAATATAGTTTATGACCGATGACTACGCGTTTAACTTATTATATTTTGTCGATTCAATTTCAATTAATCGCTAGTATAATAATATGTATTAAATGGTATCTTAAATAAATGTATTCCAAATATTGTGCGTAATGAATTCATCAACTTAAAATATTTCAATATTCGTATAACTATGTGCCTATATAATAAAGTCTAAATTATTCTAAGCTTTTAAATTCTATAATTTACTGTTTGAAATTTACTAATTCTACTCGGTATTAAATAATACCATAATAATTTACAGAAATATTATAAGATGCTTAATGGATTGTAGTGCAAATTAAATTCCGTTCTCGTGCCATTATATATTTTTTGAATTTTTGAATTTTTCACATTAATTTGGAATAATTAATTTTATTTTGTTGTAATGCCATGGTGGCATGGCAAACTATTTCCTCATAGTACATAATTAAGTAAATATCTATACAGGTATAGTGTATATAAATACATTATTTACTGTTTGCATTAACCTAACAAAAACAAAATCATTAGGTACCTAGTATTTAGTATAATATACACATTAAAAACTATTAAAAACGCAATTAAACCATTTCAATTAATTTTTAAATACTCTCTCGGTCCTATTCAATTGCTTTTATTTAAACGACTTTGACGAAAAAGTATTTTCAATTTATTAAAAATAACTTTCCAACCGAACGAAATGCATAATTCATAAAGTCCTTTGGTGCGTTTTTGTTTGAACAATCTTGAAACAAGTTAAGTTGTCAAGTTTGAAAAAAAAATGGCACGCAAGTGTATACCTCTATATATACCTGTACCATAATACATTAATACCTACACTAATGGATATAAATTATACTGCACATTCCGACCCTGTTGAGCACTCGCAAAAATAAAACTAAAACGATTTAACCGGTGTGTACGTGCGCGCGGTGTATTTTTTTTTTTTTTTTTTAATTACGAGTAAGTCAAATAATATTATGATGAAAAAATTAAAAATAATCATAAAAAAAAGGCGTGTTGAAACACGCGTGCATAACTTTGCGGGGCAACAGAGAGGGACGCCCATTACACATAGTTGTCTTGGTCGGCAAGTACCGACGCCGACTGAAAGCGGCGGCGGCGGCGGCGGCGGCTGTACACTGCAATTTATGCGACCAGTCCGCTCCACGGGTACAACACGACTTGGACAGCCGACATATATATTATTATCATTGCATTCGTTTCGAGTTACGCCGACTCGATGATTTCGCATTGCCGACCTTGAGATCGTATCCGAACAACTTGCATTAATTCAAACGCAGTCCGCGATAATAAGGAGTAACCGATCGAAAAGTCACTGCTCCGGGTCGAGCACAGGTGGCACTGTCGTCTGTGACGGACAAATGTGCTTGTCGTCGGTTTGACGTTGCATTTTTGCGCCCCCCCCCTTTTTTTTATTTTCCGTGCACGTATACCAGCTCTAATGTTAATTATTGCTACACTTGATCGATACTTGTAGTAGGTTTTAGTGGTATCATATCTTGAGATTTTATATTATATTACACGAGAAATGTCCCGCGGAGATACGAACTTCTGTTTTCTGAACCAAATTATTTGGGGATAAAATTGTCCTGATAATTTTAACGTATCTAAATTCAAACGAGCAGTTTTTGAGTTACATTTTTAATTTTAGGTAGATACGTACAAATGATAATAGTTCCACGACAGTATACGGGTTTGGTAGATATGGCGGATATGGCGATTTGAATATTTTAGTTGCAAATATTATCATCTATCGACATTTTAAAGTATTTTAATATTTACTAGATCCGATATTACATCGATTTTGAAATTTTGTAAATGCAGTGGGCATTTGCAGATGTCTGAAAAATAAATCATTCGAATTTTGAATTTGGTAAACAGCATTTTCAAAAACAATCACCCACTGAATAGTTTACAATAAAAAGTGGAAGTGAGTTCTCGTTTGAGAAACACAAATTTGTATAGCCACAGAGTACTCCTTAAGTATAGTATGAAAAATCTTAAGAATTTTAAAAATGGCTTTATAGCATGTGGTATATCTATTAAATTTTAAAATTCCAAACATCAGGATTCAAATAAATACATTTTTAAAGGAAACAATGATGGCGAAGACCATGGTCGGTGAATCACCCTGTATACCCAAATATTACATAGCTATAGCAGCGCAGAAGCGATATGGAGTGCGGGCGCGTGTTCAAATTTTCGGTGGAAAAAAAATTAGATTGGCCGCTTGGCCGTGCGCAGTATAATAATAAACTCGTCGGGGTCAATGATGTTTTATTAGTATTCTGCGCGGGGAGGGGAAAATAACCACTAAAATCTGACGGGCTGGTGATTAATAGAGGTATATATATACACGCTGCCACCGCCGCCGAGACCGTTGTTTTTGCAAAAGTGCCGGACCGCCCCGCCCCCCCCCCAAATCACCACCCACCTCACTTGCACCCACAACCCGCGAGCGCCCTGCTGTGGATGAGTTTGCATATAGTATGCGTTTTATGTCGCCGTCGTTACAGCATTATAATATGGTCGGCACACGCAATACGTTAACATGGTAATAATATATATATATAAATTACATTATAATGTATAATAATATAATAATGATAAAACGTACGCAAAAAATATGACTTTGGCAATTGGTCAACGTCAACCGCGTGCGGCCGATATATTATAATATTATTATATATGTACATTAACCATCGGCGAAACCGTTTCCGACGCGTACGAGGCGATGATGTATTATTATTATTATTATTTTTATTTTTTTTTTTATTATTATCGTATGATTGTAATAAAATTCGGGGTCGAGTGTGCTCGCGTGACACCAATGGGGGTGTCTATTTAGATATGAGAATTTTCTTGGTTTTTATTAGTTATTCACCTGTCCCATAATACACGCCGTGGGATCGGCGCACGATCCAGTATCGGCGAAGCCATTCCTCGAGATTCACCAGATTTTAAATCCAGTATGGCAGTCGACATAAATTGACACCCATGACCCCATCCACCCCATCTATAGGAAAAAACTACGACACCAAATCTCCTCCCCTCAATCAATATTAATCGATGCTATATATGACATCCGTCGTACCCTAACAGACACGCTGGACGCCAAGAGAAATGTATACTAAACAGTTCCGACGAGGGACACCAGAAATGGAAGGAGGTCCGTGGGGTAGTGATCGAAGTACACTTAAAGTTTTTTGAAGTATGCTCTCACTCATATTTATTTGGTTTTTTCTGTTTAAAATTCCTGCTGTAAGTTTCATCAATATTCCTATTTGTACGTCTATATCATATGGACATTGGCGCGAACAAACAATTAGACGGCGGCATTGATGTTGACTTAAATTTTGAGGTAGGGGGTGGGGCTGATTATAGAGTCTAAGTCACAATATATCTCTGCTCCTATGTCTACGGAACATGACGCTCATAACTTCCGAAACGCGTTTACCGTTTAGGCCGGGGCTCGAAAATATTTACCATGGCACTTGTGATGTTCGCTCCGACTGCAGAGTTACCCTCCTCTCCACTCTCCCTCTCTCTTCGTCCGTGCAAGTGCATTTTCACAACCGGGATGAGAATTCATACCGCAATAACAATAATAACAGTAATAATAACGTACGAGCGCAAAAGACTCGGGCCCCGATGTATGATAAAACGACCGACGATGATAGATTCTTTTACCTATACCGACGACGGGGCGGGTGCATTATATTATTCGTGCGCGCCGGTGACGGACGCGAGATTATAATCGGAAAAGAAAATGTCGTGTTGTTATTATTATTTCGAGCTCTCCGCGTGTGTATACCGTGCCATAGTAATAATATATACACATATATGTATTTATATACCTGTGCACGTACCAGATTATTATAAATTATAATAATATAACGTGTTGTCGGTTTTTTGTTTTCAGGCGGTTAAACGGCAACGAGCTTAGCGAAGTGCCCGATTTGGTGTTCTACAACAACCTGCAGCTTTCTAGACTGTAAGTATTTCGTCATTTTTACGAAATAATATTATTATTATATCGTCGAGTTGCGGCGCCGACAGCCGTGCGCGTATAACTCTGCGCGCGGGCATATGTGAATAGTGAGCGGTGGAGCCACGGGGTTTATAAAATAAAAATCAACAGAATTTTACGTATACACGACGACCGTGTATATTATATAATATATCGTACACTTTTAAGTCTGACGTGCATATCTCGACAAACATATATGATTTGAAGTTCGCTCGTACACATATAATAGTATAAAATATACGTACATTATACGCACTGTATGTTTCCGTAACATACGAGCCGTATATAAATAAATATATTATATTATTATGCATTCGTAGTGCGTACAAGGTGTGTGTGAGTATTATACATACATATACATAGTTTATACGGCGGTCGGTGTGCGCGACAAAGAAATCGATAAAAAAAATAACGTCATGGTCCAATATTATGTAGTTCGGCCGAACGCGGGCCACATGTATCGATGGAAATAAATATGACCGCTCGAAATTTCGGAATTTTCCGGGCGTCCGGCCCCCGAAAAGTTTTGCCTTTCGCGTGTACACCACACACGCGTCGACGCGCTCACACTCCTCGTATAGTGTGCACAGATATATACGTGCGCGGACGAGTCCGAGACGGCTGCTGCACAGTCTCCGAAATCGTTTCGGCGGCACCGACGGCGAATTATTCGCCGAAAGGGGTCGATATCGACGTACGGGAAATTCCTCGGCGACCGCTGATTATTCACGGGCCCCGGACCCCGTTATTGATATTCCATCCGTGAAATTGGATTATGCGTGTTTCCTCCCCGCCGGCCTTTGTTCGACGATTAATTACCCGCGGGCAGGGATTCGTCTTCTTCGAGCCCCCCCCCCCATCCCCTCACTCACTCATCGCCCCCGGTGCTCATCCTCGTAATCATCCTCCGCCACCTCCTCCTCCTCCTCCTACTTCTACTACTACCCCCCCCCACCTCGTCCTCCCGCCCTTCTAAAGCTCTTTTTCGGTTCGCTATGCTAACGCGTAGTCCGCCGAGGCTGTGCACTGTCCCCCCTCCCCCCGCAACCCTTCGGCAGCGATCAAAGTGTAAAGATCATAATCTGTCGATTTAAATGCAATCGGGTTCTTTTGATGCATCGCAGGAATAAAAATGCTCTTTTCGTCCGACGGCACTAAACATGAATGATTCACATCAAAAGCACATTGTGGTTTAAATGAAAAGGAAAACATTTTTTTTTGAACATTCATTATTGGACGAAACTCGTTAAAAATCGCATGACATACAGAAACAAATTGTTTAATGTTCTGTTTTATTTAAACAATTTCTATATAAACTCGTACGATGAGTTTTTTATACGCACTAAAACCGTCGAGTAAAAAAACAACATAGGCATGTACATATTATATTATACACACTTTTAGTTGGTCGTGAGCACTTTTATGTTTTTTATACTCGTTTTATGTGTTCTATCGATACTTTTCGACACATAGTTTGTAAACTGATTTCCGCGTTTTAACTTTATGAAATAATAATTCGGATGAACAACAACAGCAACAACACCATAAGCTATGAAACTGTTTCGGATATTTTTTAGGACCCCCCTAATGAATAAACGTGTCAAATTAGATTTTATGCCTACGTTTTATGGTATTTTTTTTTTTTATTATTATTATTTTATAACAAAATATAAAAACGGGCACTAACATAGTTTAGCTTTTGATGATGAAAATATACGGGTGGCGGATAGGTACAATCCGTCTGAAATAACAACTTGATTTACTATTTATAGGTATTCGGGTTCGCGCCGTGTTTATTATGGTTTTGATTTTGAATGCGAATGACATGTTAATTTAATCGAACGGTAAACAATCGACATGCCCGTAATTATTATACTGGAGCTCCGAAATAAGAAAACTTTATCGCGCCCGTCACGTCAAAAGCGCCACAGGTTATTTCGGGACGCAAAAGTTTGCTCTCTCAGTACTGAGTTCAAATTTCGCAGTTTTCAACAACTATAAACGAACATTGTGTTTGGGTGTGCGTGCGTGCTTGTGTGTCTCTCTATTCCTCGTTCCCTCCTCTCTCGGGATGAATTCGATCGAGAAGAGCGTCTAAGAAACGTGTCCGCTTCCCCTCGCGGCGTTCAAACGGTGGCGGCACATATAAAAAGAAGTGTTGACACTAACTTATTCTCCCCTCGATTTGGTACAAAGTACTCGGAAACTTCGGCAACACCCCGGGCAAGCCCCGAATAAACCCAATTTGCTACTGAATCTCACAAATCGCCCGTTTCGAATTCCGCGACTGGCATACATCTCTTTGCGTCTAAACTAATTACGAGCACATTATGGTAATGTGAAAATAATAGGTACCTATTGGAGGAACACGGGCCAAACATGTTTCCCTATGTAAAATTGAATTTATAGCGGGCAGAGATGTCGCCGCGCAAGTGAGATGACGATGACTACCGTCCGAATTTCCAAACGAAAGTTTCGACATCTTTGAAAGGATATTATACAAAAATAATATAATAAATTGTGCATAGACACGCACACGACGGTTGGAGCACTATAATATACTATACTAAGCCGTATTGAGTGCAAACAAATATGGTACAGTCCAGGGGTGGCCAAACTTGTTTAGATAAAGATCTACTAAAAAAATAATTTTCCTTCGAGGACTATGATTGACTCGTGTAAAAAAAATATTTTTTATTTCGAATCATTACTAACGTTAATAATAAACGTACTTATTTAAAAAAATTATTCAATTAAAATGTATAATATAGTTATCTAAAAATGAGCGTTTCACATTAAATTTCTAAATAATTAAAAAATAAATAATTGCTGTCGGAGTAGGACCGACACGGTTGCATATCGTTGACCAGTTAATATTATAATCTGAGGAGTATTCGATAACTGATAAACGAAGACGCTGCTGCAGCTGTTCTAAATGATCATTTAGAGCAAGCGCGTGGCTGACTTAAATGACGACTTTCGTGTGAAAAAATGCAATTTCACTCGAACGGATCAGTTGAAAAATGCATATAATATTATATAACACAATGCAATTCTGCAGTGTCTACAAAATGCATAACAATAAGTCCCTGCGATAAAGGGGAAGATCGTCGACTTCGGAAACATCCGAGACCGACCGTTTTTGGTGCCGCCCCGATTGCACGCGAGTTGCACGCCACTATACTTGCGCACAATTAAGCGGATATTAACAATAATAATGTCGGGTGGCTGGCCGATGCCGTCGGAAGCTACTTTGGGACCATTATAATATTACGGCCGGGACTTACTAAATGAATCGGAGGATAAAAATCCACGGGTTGTGTTGGCACAATAGGACAATTGGTATAGCTCTTTTTGAATGCTGCAGCAGGTATATATATATGCGCACAATGGACATTGGCATACCAGTTTGTTGAGCTAATTCAAATCATTCTCACAGTGTTTACGGAACATTATTTGTTCTACAGCGATTTCATTGTATTCATATTGGCCCGATAATATTATCATCATTAAGAGCCATTACTTTTTCGAGTTTTTTTTAACTCTTTGGTATTTTATTCGATAGTTGTAAATTGTAATATGGTATAACATAATGATGTGCTATTTATGTTTAGCGAATAAAAAAATTAATAACACTTCACCATTATTATTCGAAAAATCTTAGCATAATATTGTTAACATCTCCATAATATAATATAAATATTGATATTTATTTCTAAGTATTGTGTACTTAATCGAATTTCTCCCCTCCCTTTAACCCTTAAAAAGACATTTATACTATAATTCTTAAACATGATGTTCGATCTATGTATTTTTTGTTATTCAAAGTTTTATTATTTTAACTCGCACTTAAAATTAAAACCATTTAACATGTTTTTCTTATTTAAATAAAAAACAACCAAAAAAAAAATTAACAAAAATAGCACAAACTTATCCGTCAGCGTGTATACTAATTATACTTTAACAAATGTTCCAATTTTATTTTAAAGCGATAAGGAAAGATGATTATACTAATCTTATAAAGCAGTTTATTATTAAAAGAAAAAAACTAGAAATATTTCTAAAATGATTTATGTACATCGTATAATTAATGTGAATTAAATTTAAATCACCCGTACACAATATGTTAATGATGAAAAAATGTATGCCAAATGTATTAAGTAATCTGCGAGGCAGAGACATTTCATCTATATAGGTATTCGAAATATGTTCTCAAATCATTTATTAAAATATAATACGATTAACGCATATAGTTTAATAACGATCATTAATAACCAACAAGAACACTGCATTTCTCATAAAGTTTGTTTTATGTTACGAGAATATTCATTTCAGTATCGTGCTGAGACGAATCGTTATTGGTTAGCAGTATAAAAATAAAATGACGTATTTCCTTCCGTCCTGCATTCGATATAACATACGCCGGGGACCAGTTTTTTGGTGCCGTCCGTTTATCATCTCATAAAGAGTTTAATACGTTTTAAATTGACGACTGTGTGGTGTTCAAAAATACTAATTCGTCAACCGATTGGTTATAGCAGCCATTTATTATATATATATATATATTGTACGTTGTACATATTGTATTAATATTATTCAGTGTGGCTTACGAATTACGAATTACAAGACACGTGGCCTTATAAATAATATATTTATATCATGAGTGGGCATATGCATATGGTAGCAGGCAGCTGGACAGAATGCGCAAAATATTCAATTGAGGGGAAAAAAATAGAGGAGAATTTAAAGGTCGTAACCGTGTGCGTCTAGACCCTAAAGCGAGAGAAGCTGTGAATGCGAAATACGTACAGTGCAATCAAAACGAAATTTTCGTCTGCCGCCCGACGACGACGATAAGGACGAGAAAAAAAGGGTTTTTATTTTACGTGACCGGATTAAAACCTATTTGCGTGGACAATGGCCCGTCATTCTTATCACGTAACGCCTTTTGTAAATGGCGTCTTAAATGGACCCACAGACGGATTAA